TTACCTTTTTGACAAGGCCATTGCATGCACAGAATGTACAGAGTGTTTTTCACAGATTTTACTTACCCTTAGGCCACACCAATTTAATTTGTTGGTTCTCGGATTTTTTCAGAAAAAATATGAAGCGACAGGGCGAAAAAAAATAAAATAAAAACAGGTCTAGGCATCCTATTATAGGCTTAAATGCTATGGAATGAGCCATGAAGTCAACACAAAAGGCTGGGTTAAAATTTAAACATTGAATTTTGAACTTTTAATCAAACCACTGCAATGATAGATGGGAAAACTGTAACAACTAGGAAGAAAAGGACTTTCCTCAACTGTTGGGGGCAAAACATGAGCATTTTTCAGTTGATTCAGGACCAGAATCAAATTTTTTTTTTTTTGCAAATCAGAAAAAAACGAAGAGGCGAATCCGAGAACCAACAAATTAAATTGGTATGGCCTTACTTACTAATAAGTAGATATTGTCATAAAATATACCACTGAGGCCACACCAATTCAATTTGTTTGTTTGTTTGTTTATTTAGTGATGATCAATTCGTTGGTTCTCAGATTTGCCTCATCATTATCATTTTTTTCTGGTTTGCAGAAATCATTTTTTTCTGGTTTGTAGAAAAAAAAAGATTCTGGTTCTGAATCAACTAAAAAATGCTCATATTTTGCCCCCAACAGTTTAGGAAAGTCCTTTGCTTCCTAGTTGTTACATTTTTTTCCACCTATCAATGCAGTTTGATTAAAAGTTCAAAATTCATGGTTTAAATATTAACCCAGCCTTTTGTGTTGACTTCATGGCTCCTATTGTAGCATTTGGGGCTATAATACGATGCCTAGACCAATTTTTATTTTTTTGTTGCCCTGTCGCTTAATTTTTTTAAAAATCTGAGAACCAACAAATCAATTGGTGTAGCCTGAGTGAATCAAATACATGTAAATTGAACGTAAACTGGAATTATCCTTTGACAGTAATGTGACCAGCTTTCAAGATATTCACTTATCTAATCCCTTTAGTTCCCAAAGGTGTTTCATTTAATCTCCAAGCAGATCCCTCTCGGTGGCAAAAAGACAGTATCAAATTGGCCAGGCAGTATCCATTAGCCAGAGAAGCTCCGCGGCCACCGACGGGTGGGGATCAGGACAAAAAAAAAAACGGCCATATATAAAAAGGTAACGATCATTCCCCACAACCTCTGCTTGGAGAGTATGTTTCATTATCATAATGGCTCAAGTTTGCAACTGTGCATGGATATCCCTGCCTCTAAACCTGCTATTGACCACAAAATCTAGTGGAAGAACCACATTCTAGAATCCCCATACAAGCCTGCTCTGAACATAATCTTCTTTCTAAACAAAATCACTCTATTGTAGATAACAAACCAAGTGCACATGAACTGTCATGGCAACAATGGTAAACAGTAACCGCAAGAAAATTGACCTCTGACGTGTTCACCCCGGTGGTGGGGAAATGCTGCTATTTACATGATGTCATCTTTTGTTCTCTCAGGGTGGGGCTTGTATGTCTTTCCGATTGGTTGCGCAGGACAAAAGGCATTCAATCTTGTGACAGTTTCAAGGCTTAGGTTACAGGTGGTTGAGTGAACTGCTGCTTAATGTACTGTGTGAAATAATGTACTGAGAAGTGGGTAATAAATTAAAAGACAATTTGACTGGAAGATATGCTCATATCCTTTACCAGTTTTCTGCCGACTTTAGGCCTGTACATACTTGTTTTGACAAACCTATAACTGTATATGTTGTTATCTATACATAATATATGTTTAATTAGCATATGAGGATCTAATATAATTACTTTTGACCTTATTTTCTGGTTATCTATTTTGGTGCATAAGGCAGACTTCGGTTCAAGACCAACCTGACAACAGAATCATTTCACTGTAATCCATCTATTGTGCACATTGTACACACCCGTTCAATAGGGCAGCCAGTACAGGGCCAATACATGGTGTTTTTGTTGTTTGCAGTACTGAAATCCTGAGGAATTTGGTCCATCACATCTACACGACTTGAAACACATGATGCACATGACTTATTTGACATGTCTTCTACAAGTTTTTGTATACTACGTTAACTTTTCAGCAAACTTCTATGATCTGTTTCATGCTAGGTAATTGGGAGCCCAGTATTTATCGAGTCAACAAACTGTCAGCCTGACATGTTGACTCTGTGTGCAGCTAATTCATGTTCTTTGGCAACGGATCACAACAGCGTAGGCAGGGAAAATCAAGAGAACACTGACTTTAGATAATAAAGAGGGGTATACTAGTAGCATTTACAGAATTGTTGCAGGGTTACAATTGTATCATACACTGTGTTGCTTGCACAGTTCATATCTACTTTCTTAAACAAACATCATGTATGTTTAATAACATGTCAATTATACCATCATTTGATTCTAAGGCACATTGAAGCGATGTTACTTTGATAATCAATAAATGAACTTGAAACTGATCAATCAAGCGCAGCCTTTGTACATCCTATCCTGAGTGCTGTCATAATTTGTAAAGAACTGTTATGGTACGTAGAACATTTGGAACTGTGGCAGCCATGTATAAGCAATGTTTACATTATTTATGGTTGTAGTAGAAATACAAATAAGTAACAACTCTGCAAGCAAATCCTTTTAAACTATGGTTCATATTTTAGATCCTTCCCAATTTGTTTTGTCAGTCAACAACTTTGACCACATGGTATATTTGATATCTGTAACCCTGGCTTCAAGGCAGTGTAATTATGATGTATTCTGTCATGTATTTCATAATGTAAAGTTGAATACTTACCTGATAGGCCATGAATAATGCAACCAACACAAACCTATAGAGAACTACTGTATGTCTACCAGTGAATCATGTACAGGAAGAAAAGACAATTCTTCAAACAAAATACAGTAGCTGATTAAAACAGGTTATGCTGTAAAAAAAGGTCAAAAGTATACATTGTAAGTCAGCAGGAATGGAGTTGGAAATTGGGGAAAAACAGCAGTTAAACTATACTGTGTGTATGTCAAGTTCACAGTAAATCAAGTCACACAAAATCACAAACAACACACCACAACAAAACAGAAGAGAGGTTGTTGTCAGTTCAGAATGCATTAAATGTCATGGATGATAGTTTTCATATATTATAGATTCGTAATTATTCTTTTTAGTATTCTAAAATTTAAGATCCATGTAAAAAGTAAAGTTCTTTTGCAAATTGTCTAAGAAAATTGAAGAATTGTAGACAGCTTTGAAGTTATACTTGGCAAATGAAATCATGCATAGAAAGGTTATTTTGCTGTGCATAAGGAATGTAGCTATTTCTTCTGGGAATTGCAAAAGGAAACAAAGTGTAAGACTACAGCACTGTATTGAAAACATACACTCATGACATTTAATTAAAAGCTGGTTATTGTGTTAGCACCTTGTCATCGTCAAACTCAGACTGTTCTGACCCTGTAGCAGTCTCGTACTCCGATTGGCTTACGGCGTGTGAGCTCATTGGTAGGCAGCAGGCATGCAAGTTCAGTAGAGAGTTGATTCCTTACAACACCTTAGAAATATGGCCATGCAAGAGGAACAAGTTAAATCATAAGCAAAAAGGTAGCTACACCACCACCTGTTTAGAGTAAAAGCAAATAACCACATAAAAAGAATAAAAAACTTCACCAAACATGCATCCTTGCATATAAAAAAAGAGATTCTTCATTATTATATCTATTTATTTAGGAAGCAAGCCTGTGGGGAAACAACTAATAACCTGATATTTATACTATAATTATGAAAAGGTGGGATGTCAAGACAACATATTGTAACTGTTACAGCAATAATCATATAACATACAAAAAATTGACATATCTTAAAACAGAAATGTGTCTGACTCAACAGTTCAAAAGATTTTTAAAAGATTATGCTGTATGTGAAATGCTGAGTCAGACACACGTACATATTTACCCAACACCGCCTTCTCAGTATTTCATGCATAAACACAGGAATGCAGACAATGTTTATCACACATTCTTTTGCTACCGTATAGAATCTACGCAGCATGGCAGGTTGATTAACTCTTCATTCGCAATAGGGTCAAACACTTCTTTTCAAAAAATGAACCTCAACTTCAAATTGGTCTTGGACAAATTGTAGTGTTAGTAACTAGAAGGAGGTTTCTTGGTTGATACATACAAATGTACAATAGATTAAACAATTGTCTTGGATGAAATTAAACTTTTGTCCTGAAATTGTGTAATACCATTACTGTGACTATGACTGTGACTATTGTAGAGACGATACAACTCATCCTCATGTTGACATTAATATTTCAAGCGACACTTTAATCAACACAACTGGATGGATCCAACTCGATAGCTATTAAACTTTAATGAACGGTGACAAGGACAGAATAACAGCATATCCAGAACCCTAGCTCTTTTCTTTCAAAACAGTCACCTTTAGCCAAGCAAACTTTGTGACAAAGTGAGTGGGGATCAGTATAAGTGAGCACTCAGCCATGACATTAAAACTTGCTTCCCTTCTTACCTCGTTAGTTTCTTGATCTTCCATCTTTCAGGCAGCTTTCTTTACACCAAAAAACACTTTCACTCCTGTGTCATCTACAAAAGTTCATCTTTCTGGCACTGAAAAACAAAGGTGAGATCGATTCGTCACTTGTTGCCCCGTGCCCACTGTGCACGATAACCCTTGCGTTCGTCAACTGACCTTCCCGTCTTGTACCTGTTTATTGTAACCAAAGCACTTGGTCACGTGACACAACAAATTACACAGGTGTGCCACTATATTGTTGTCAGACAAATTCTTGAAACAAATGTGCATAAAATCATTCTTTGGACTAGAAAATGACTTGAAAAGTAGGTAGAAGTCTCAGTTTGTTGTTCTGATGTTTAAAATTGTTGAAAAGTGGATGGAAAAGGGTTAGATTTGCAGAATTTACGGTTAAAACCACACCTGGTGACACCTGCGTGACTGTCCCGTACGCAAGGGGACAGTTTAACGGACGGTCAAAGTTCACCGAGCATGCGCACAGCGTCCAGGCAACATGGCGGCGGAAATGTGACTTTTTCTCGTCCCGTGCCGAATTTTACCAAGTTTTGAAGATTATACAAAGAAGGTACGTTTGTTTTCAGCATGTTCTGTACCCCATTGGACCAGAGAATTAGAATATCGGGTTAAGATAGCGGTAAATTCGGTCAAAATGTTGAAATATGAGGCAAAACTTGTCAGGATGACGCACCACATAATTTGAGGAAGGCTATTTCCGATGAGAGTGATTATAATAAGTACTTGTGTCGTCATGTATCGGTCTGTTTTGACGATATAGACAGAAAATCTAGAACATAGGAAAACAAAACAAAGCCTGCAGTGGTCACAGTGACACTACGTATTCGTTGGGGCTTACCAGGTACTTGTACGTTGCGTTCAAACTTAGGTTTTGGAGTCTCGCGAAAATATTTGAATCAGCCACAGAAATCCTTGACTTACTCTGAGGAGAAGGTTAACTAGTAAACATTTTATTTGTGTCCTTAAATTCTAGGGACCCTCATTTTTTCACATTATATATTCAGATTTATTTGTATCATGCGAATACCACTGTAAAACCTGTTATATATTTAAAGTTCTTGTATCATTATCAAGTATCAACTTTACATGATTACTAGATTTGCCATGGACATGTACAGGTACCATATTAGTATAATCAGATGATTTGTTATATAAATCTTGAATTGAGTCATCAAGACTTTCCTTCTTTGCCCATACTGCTTATTTTTTAAGAGCTTTGAAGACATTTTGGTTGCTATAATTGAGGACACTGATGGCATGCATCAGTGCCAAGCATTAAACATTGGCAATGTTGATGATGATGGATTCATCGATGACGTAAACTTTCTTTCTTACAGCAATGGACAAGGTGTTGGAGGGAGTGATTTCATCTGACCACCCAGATAAGGTGAAGAAAGCCCTGATCGGCAACATCCTCCTGACGGCCAGTAAGCCCGTATCACACGAGGATGGCAAAGCTATCTTCACCCTGGCCACACACTGGAACCTTCAGGGGGAAACCCCGTTTATACGCAGTGTGGGGATGCAGGTGTTTCTGGCATGGGGACTACACCACAGGGACATCTTGGAGGAATTCTTTGACATCAAGCTTGTCCTGGGAGTTCTCCGCGGCTCCTTCACCGCAAACTTCCCAAACGAGAAACTCGTCCTTCTGTATCTCTTAGAAGGGTTGAAGATGTTGCGAGGAAGTCCGTGCTTGTTGCAGATTTACAAAATAGTGCAAAGTGATGCCTTAAGGTTGGTGCAAGACAGCGGCAGTCTTGAAGTCTGCGTGGCTCTAACTAGTCTTCTTCTCGAGTTCAACCAGTGCATACCCAGAGACACGGTTGTGAAGTTCTGTGAGGAACTGGTGAAGAGGATGGCCCTGTGGAAGAGTCCGGAAAATGAAAAAAGTTTGAAGGACTACATACAGAATGTCACGCAGGTGGCAAACCTGCTGGGAGTGGTTTGGAAAAAGGACCAGTCGGCGCTGTTACCGAGTCTCAGGACTGTGTTTGGGATGATATCCGCAGTCGAGGTGTCGAGCGAACCATCGGTCGCGCTCGCTTCCATCGTTCCTCAAGTTCCCATCGACATGTTGGCGGTCATCACCAGGAGTGTCGTTACAGACCCAAAAGTCCGCGATGCAAACGTTGAAGTGTCTCTGATGAGGATGATTGGTTGGTTGAGCTGGCCAGTGGCAAAGAACATTGACCAATGGCTGGTGGCCTTCTTGAAGAACTTGGCTGCAGTGCAAAAGTACACACTGCTGATTAACATTACAAAGGAGAATGTCAAAAAGGTATGATTTATTTTCTTGTAAAGACTAAAAATTTTTTGGTGTCTGAAGTGTTATATTTTTTTGTAGTACATTAAAATGTTGAACATTGATACTGACTGCAAACCTTATGACTAGTGTGCATGTCTAGTAATGGCCTAAGTAAAGATGACACTGATAAAGATACCATTTAGAAAGTTTGATATTTTGAAACAACAGACAGTTCCAAATATATAAAACTCATATTAAAAGTGAAGATTAGTAAATGAATTGTTTTTATCCACTAACATGATTGAGGACCTTTTCTACACCTTCCCTTGCAGGTGTTCAGCCGTCTGTGTTACCCTGTGGTACGGAACAGCGCCCTGGCTGTGCTGTCACACATGCTGCTCAGTTTCCAGCACTCCCCAGAAGCTTTCCATCAGGTTAGCGCTACTGTCTTATGATTATCTGTAACAAGTATGTACATGCTAATGTTAGATTGCTTCACAAATACATTAAATCATAACAGTACAAGCTGTTTAAAAGTTTTTTTCTGAAAGTGCTTCTTCCTGTTATTCCCACGATCTTGATACTCAGTAGCTAATACTCAGTGCCTTTCCCAAGGGTGCAAGATTGGTGACATGGCAGGATTCGAACCGGGGACCTCTTGGTTTGAAGCCGAATGCTCTACCGTTGTGCCACACGACCCCACGAACAGTCTTGAAAGCTCCAAGTCGTCTTCACTTTGCTAAGAAGTACTAACTATATCTATTTCCTCAGATTGTTGGCCTTGTCCCTGAGATGATAGTTTTCCTGAAGAAAGAGGACAGTACGTCCAGTCTGGAGTGTATGGGAAGGCTGGCTGAGCTGGTACACTGTCTCATCTACCACCACTCAGGCTTCCCTGATCTGTACGAGCCTGTTCTCGAGGCACTTAAGGTTAGCTCTATTCTTGTTTGTGAAATTTGTATGAAACTTAGGCCACACCAGTTTGATATTGTTGGTTCTCGGATATTTTTTCAGAAAAAATATGAATCATATGGGAAAAATAAAATCAGGCCTAGGCATCCTATGATAGCCCGAAATGCTATGAAAATGATTTAGAGCCTGAAAGGCCAGTGATAAAGATTGAGTCTGAGTCCCACTTGGTCTGAATTTGATGTCTAATTTCCTTCTACAGGGTTTGAACAAGCCTACAGAAGCAATGGTAAAGCTTCGGCTGAGCCAGTCTGCCTGGACGTCCCAGAGCAACGGTCTCCTCAGCTATCACTCCAAGTTCATGCCGCGTTCGGAGACAGGGAAGACCGGCCTGATGAACCTGGGGAACACCTGCTACATGAACAGTGTGTTACAGGCACTCTACATGGCTGATGAGTGAGTAGGGCACATTTCTGTGGAGATTCTAAAGGGCTTTGTTGTATGCACACCCGGGATTTTCTAGTGAAAGAGTTTTGTTTTGATTTGAAATACGCCACATGCTTGAGTTTGTATCTATATTTAGAATGTTTGCAGAAAAGCCAATAAATGTACTTACCTCTGACCTTCTGCAGTCAAGTCCATGATGTACATTGTGTGGTTTGAAAGCTCTATCATCTTAGCAAGTTTAAGATGAACTAACTAATGGTGATGTGTTTTAGGTTCCGGATGAAGGTTCTAAGCTACGTGCCAAATGGTGCCAAGGGTGTGCTGGCACAGTTACAGGACGTCTTCGCTTTTCTCTCTCACACACAGGTCAGTGGAAGTCTTGATTGTTAACTTTTCTTTTGGAAATTGTGTTTGATTCAATCTTAATGTGTATGTTGCACGTGAGGACGGGTTAAAATTCAGCTTTAAGATAAAATTATGAATCTTTATACTGATCAACTTCAGTGTGTATGTTTCTGTCCTCTTCTTACGGCATGTACAGATGTACATCAAAGAACTAACCGTTAGTGTAACTGTGTTGTATGTAATGGTTTTGCAGAGGACTGCATACTCCCCGTCAACTTTCCTCCACACCGCCCGCCCGCCGTGGTTCAGCCCGGGATCACAACAGGACTGCTCCGAGTTCCTCAAGTACCTTCTGGACAGGATTGACGAGGAAGAAAAGGCCAGGAAGAAAGCACAGGCACTGCTGTCTCCTCAAGATCAGGCCCACCTCCCGAGCAAGATGGCTAAGACTGAGGAGAATTGTTCCGACGATGTTGACACACCTCCTCGCAAGATGAAAAGTGTTCCTGAGACACCCTCATTGTCCAAGTGCCAAGAAGTGCCAAACTGCAACATGGTTTCTGTATCAGGTAGCCCCACAGTTGAAACAACCAGCCTGACCACTGTCAACCAAAGCACTTGCTCAGTCCACGGCCGCACGCTCCTACTATTATAGAGGAGTGTTTTGGAGGGAAGATGATGTCCAGTTTCAGATGTCTGAACTGTGGATTTGTCTCCATCAAGGAAGAGCTCTTCACAGATTTGTCATTAGCCTTCCCTCACAAGGACTCTCATGGCCAAGATGGAACCCCTCTTGAGGTAACCAATGAGAACTCTTCCTGTGAGCTGGCGTCCAATCAGGATTCATCTGTAGTGGGCGTAGCATCCAATCAGGTGCAAAGTACTCCTCAGGATTCAACCAATGATAAGCTACCAGTGATGAGATCTGCAGGAACACAGACTGAGGACTGTACAGAACAAGAAGACATCCCCTTGACTTTGGAAAACCTCCTGTCCTATTTCTTGGCCCCTGAAACACTACACGGTGATAATAAATATCAGTGTGACAGGTGCGAGAGTCTACAAGATGCAGAAAGGCAAATTAGGATAAGTCACGCACCCTCTTACCTCATTCTCACTCTCATGAGGTTCTCCTTTGACATTAAGACGATGCGAAGGAAAAAGATTGTTACAAACGTTCAAGTGCCCTCTTCCCTCACACTCCCTGTATGTAGTATAGACTCGGGAGATTCTGCACAGAGTGCAATTCAGGAAACAAGCACAAACTACAGCCTCTGTGCTGTTGTTGTGCACTCTGGGACGTCGTCAGAGTCAGGACACTACTACTGTTACGCCTCCCATCTACCGTCAGACCGTCACCAGGTTGCCATGGAAACAGACGAGCAGGAGGATGATGGGAAGGTCGTGTCGGGACAGTGGTTCCTCTTCAACGACAGCAGGGTGTCGTACACGTCCCTGGACTCAGTGCGGAACATCACAGAGAAGTTCCCGAAGGACACGGCGTACGTTCTCTTGTACAAGAGGCTGGGAGACATGGAGGGGAACCTGGCTGAAGGGAAGGGCGTGGCTGAGCCCATCCTGAGGAAAGACCTGCTGGACACCATAACCAAGGATAATGCACTCTACCTGCAGGCAAGTATATGTAACAATACAAGAAAGGACTGTCTTAAAATATCAGTCGTCCAAGATAAGTAATTTTTCAGACTTTTTTGTTGATTTGGCAACATTTTCAGGTTGAAAGAATTTTTAAGAGTTGATGCTGTTTGTGTAGTTGTGTTTCAAGGTTAATTTTTATTCACAGTGTTTTACAATCCAATGTTTCCCATTACAGGAGCAGGAGTTGGAAGCTCGGAGCCTCGCCCTGAGACAGTCCCAGAAGGCGTGCACCTCTTCTATCCCCTTCAGGAACCACGACGATGACAAGAACAACCCCCGGGGAGCTGTGGGGGTGGGGGAGGGGGGTTCAACCTGCCCTCCAACAGATTTGTGTTTTAACAACTGGATGAAAGGGCCAAGCATGCTTCCTTGTGGTACACATTATGTCAAACCATCTCAATCAGTTGTACTTGATAAATAAACCCCACATGTGGAAGCACTTGAACATTTCTCAGAGGTTTCTAGCCTTTTTGAAACCAGATACCATTGTGGTAACCCATGTAGTCCTAAGTTTCTATGTATTACATAGTGCAATGCCCATCCTACTGTGCCCCATGAAGACGTTTATTTGGAAGTCCAGATACCGGTAGTTGGCGATGTAGCTAAAACAGGGTAATCTTTAAAAGAGTGAGAGGTGTGTTACAGATGGTACATCCTTGTTTTAACATTTTGTTTCCAGATAAACGGTAGGTAGGTAAGTAATACTATGTTTACTACATTGAGGTTTATTATCTTTTCTCGAAATAATGATTCCAGCTTCTGTAAGACTAGCACAGGTAGATCATGTAGGGTTACAGTATGTTACATCTTGTTAGAGATGGAGGATCTGTCAAAACTGTAAAGATAATACAACATTAGTCCACATCAGACATGTCATGGTCTGTGTGGGGGACATAGTGCAAAAGAGCGGTCAATTTTTCAAGAGATTTATTTTGCTGTATTTGGCACTTAAGTGCTAAATTGGCTTTTAAAATATTGTGTTGCTTGCAATTTTATTATTCCCTTTTACAAAATAACTAAAAGTTTAAGTACTAAGTTACAAGTTTATTGTTCATACATTAAAAAGCCTCATATGATGACCTTGTGATCGCATGCAGATGAGTGTAAATTAATCTGTGCAACAGTTGTGTATTAAAAAACTGTATTCGAACTAAGTCTGTCTATCTTGTGAACGGTCACACTTTATGCATTGAAGTATGTGCTGATACAACCTGGAAGTTCTGCTGTAGTACCTTGGAAAGACACCAGGGGTTTTTAATTGGTCAAAACCTACATGTAACTACATACCAAATGTTAGACAATTCAATCCATTCATAACTTCTTCAGCTAGGGTACTAAACCACATACATACAAACAGTACCAAAAACACTACTTGTAGAAGGAAGTAATGACCAAGGCAATAGAAGATCCTTGACAATTCAAGTTTTATTTCCTTGATGTACAGTTCTGTTAACGGCCCCCTTTCCTTCCTTTGCCTCTACTTGGATCAGGCAGTTTGAACGGTATGGGCAACACAGCCATCCTCTGGGTGTCAGAATCTGTACCTCTGTCAGCCTTCTTGCTTTGAATTTCACAGCCAATGGCTCTTGTTAACGTCATCAGTCTATAAGAGGGAATATAAAAAAAAAGACATGATTACAGGCTTATAGCATCTTGGTTAAAATCTAAAAATGCAAATTAAACAAAAATCTGGTAAGTAAAAAGAAATTGGAGCAAGTTGCTTATTCAAGTCATAGTTTGTGTTGCTAATTTTGAGGCACAGTTACAATTAGTGACTACAAATTGAAAAAAAGACAGTGCACACACCAATATTGTATCAGTGAATGCCTGATAAATATAGTGACGTTACAAAGGCTTACTTCTTTTGTGCAATCTTGAGGTCCTTTTGGACGTCATTCAAGTTCAGTCTAAACTTCTCAATAATCAGGCCCAGAACCAGGATGTAGCACAACAGCTTGTCCTTAAGACGAGGCGGCATGGCCCTGAAAGTATGAAAGAAACATTTCTTGAAGACCACAGAGACTTCTTAATTTGCTGTGATTACAAGTACTATATCACATTGAATTATAGCCAAAGCCAGAAAATGTGTGTAGCACTTCTACATCATTTAAGGTCGTATACGCATATTATCCTGTCTGTAGTTTTCAAATGTTGTGTCGGGAAAGATACAAAAAGGACAAAATTCTCATGCAACATTGACCAAATATCCAACAAAATAGTGGTTTGACAAATAGGCTGTACATTCTGCCAATGTGCTACCAAAATAAAAGTACTAAGATTTTGGAAAAAATATGACCATCTTAGCCATACATTCTGCACTTCACCCTACATCAAATTTTAATGAATGGATCCCTACACATACCTGCGAGACCTTGCGGCATCTGCCTTGACAGTGAATGCACCGAGCAGCTGCTGCTTGACCAAGAGGGGCATGCCATCTGGTAGAGGAAGGTCTAGTAGGAAGAAGATAATTCAATACAAAGACTATGTTAGTCTTAACACACTTTTGCTGCATTTTAACATACACAGTTTGGCAAGAAGCAGTTGTTTAAAAAAAAGGCAGCAGGACTGGTTTGGAATTAACAAGGTTAGATTGGTCACCTCTTTTCCTCCAGTCAGTGTACTTGAGTCCATGCAGGGCGAGGAGGTACCACATGTACATGATGTGACAGGAACGGGTGAGTCTGGCCTCTTCATCCAGCGGCATGGTGGACACCTGCCTCAGTACAAATGTAGAGTACCTAGAAGGACAATGTTACAACAGTCATCACATCAACAGAAAACAACAACTATAACTATAGACTAAGGGCATGCACGTTTCTCAACAAAATTTACAATTTACAAAAATCAAATACAGTATGGTCCTTGCCTTCATTCTATAAGGTCAGTACCATAAGAGTTTCAAGTTAATAAGAAGGAATATTGATTACTAACTTTTGTACTTTGTACATAAATGGAGCCTCACCTTCCCTCTGCTCTCCACTTAGCGATGTCTTCTTTCGTTGCTTTTACAAAGTCTCCAGCTGCATCTTTCAGGGCTTCAAACACTTCCAGGGGAATGACTGATCATGGTTAAGGAAAGCCAAAGCCAATCTTACTGATTAAATTAAAGCTTTCTTACAATGACTTAATATCATGACATGCATTAAGTGTAAATTTACAAGGCTAAGGCTGATTGATACATGAACATTTAGAAAGTACAATGGTGCCGTGAGCTTTACTTTGCAGCCTATGGGGAAATCTATTGTCTGAAAACCCAAAAAGTTTGGATTATCATAATAATAAGTGTATAAAAGCACCCCTGAGTCAGGTAAAAGGATACTGCTCTCCACCTTGTAGACATCCTCTGGTGTTGCAGCATTCTTATCATGAGGTGGGATGGTAGAGCCCGAATCCATCTCTGGACCTGAAATTATGTACAGAAATATTGTTGTTATATATCTTCTTACATCTTCATACAACTTCAGGCACCAGGACGTTTCTTTATCCTGATTTGTACTAAGAAAATATGTGTGCAGCTCTGTTAGCATGTTACTATTAGTTCCTTTGATAATGATTACAGCTACATGTATGTTGTACTGAAGTCAAAATATATTTTATCAGCAATAGTTGCCATGAGTGCCATGAATATGCTGTATACTACCGGTTGTGTTCAATACTAGTATCTTTATGCACACAGGTATTTTGAGCCCTTGTATGGGCTAAATTTGTATTGATTATAGCATAAATCAGTAGTTTTAGGAGTCAAACCACCTGTTAGTTTCTCTGGAGTTTTCATGACGTCCTCCACAGCAGCTCCCATGGCTGTCTCCAGAGCCTCCTTCTTCACCTTGTCCCGAAGTCGACTCTCCATAGCTCTCTTCTTCTTCGCTCCACCAAAGGCATCTACCAGTCTGTCATTCTGTGGAAGACCATTCAAATACATGCCATTCATTCAGTCATTCATTCATTTGTTCCTCCGTCCATCCATCCGTTCATTCATCCATCTATAGGGCAAAGCACTGGTTACTTACTAGTACATTTAAGGCAAGTTTATGTAGTAACATCAGTTATCAACTATATAAGGTCTTTGACTTTTTGAAGATCTACTTATCAATGTTGATGAATTGCATAGCTTTAGCTTGATATAAAAAATGACAAATAAAGTTCTACCTTTTCCTGGTATGTCAAGTCTGTTTCGTCCTTGTGTTTTTCCTGATCTTTGTCTGGAAAAAAGGGAAAGATTTAACATTAGTTGAATGTTTGATATTTCTTTATGACTGAAATTTCATGTATGAGAAAGATATACATATATATCATATCAACATTCATATACATTATAACCTTCATTTTAAACTAATTCTATTAATCTAAATACCAGGATAACTATATGACCAACAAATATCTGACGATGACCAGGTTCTCACCATGTACTACTGGCCTCATGGTGAAGGAGTTTGTGTCATAAACTCTCATCTTCCCAGTCTTTTTGTCTAACATACCGACCATGTACCTGCACAAATACAACAAAGGGTTTGTTTGTAAATAAATTGTATATCACTCAGTATATCCAACATTTTTATCACTACCAGTACCTTCTCAGCATATAGCATGTTAAAATAAGGATATCTAAAAGACAAAGACTACATGAAAACATTGTTCAAGACACATTAATAGGTAACTTTGTGATAATAAAGGTTATCATTCTAAATAATTCTTAGTGGATTCATAGGACATGATTTGGAAACTTACTTGCAAAGAGAGTTTCCCCTGGGGGCACTTGGACCAAAGTTCCTACCAACGTACTGCATTCTCTCAGTCTCTGCCACCTAGAAAGAGAATGGCCCGGCCAAAAATAAGTCATAAAACAATACATTCAATTCTACAGTACCCATTTACCTAGGAAAGACTTTAAAGCTGACAAAAATATTTCTGAGTCACAGTAAACAGTGTTTCATTGATGATTACATGTACATGTAGTAGAAGAAGTAGATTTGTGGTGAAGCTCACCAGAACTCTCCTGTGCCTCTTCCTGACGTCATCCCTCTCCGTGCTCCTGAAGTAACCAAAGTTCGGAGGGTTGTCTGGCTTCAGTCTCCCGTTGGTGAACTGGACTGAAGTACAACATGAATGACATTAAATTATGTTATAACTTACAAGTGTAACGTTATACTGCTAAATAATAGCACCTTATATGGCCTTATTACTCAGCCTTGGATCGCTTTTTTTACACGCTTCTCATTGCAGTAGGAGTTTTTAAGACATGTTCTTTCTTACCTATACAGAGGACCTTCTTGTTTACAGTATACACAACTGCTATATGCTATGTGCATATGTGCGACTGTTCTTCGCTTTCTTCGTTCTGACGAAGCGACATGTAAACTTTCGGGGATCTGCAAAGGAAAACTAGCCCGACCAAAAGCACGAATTTTAGATACATGTATTCTGTATAGACTACTTCACCGTCTAATACAAGAAAAATTACTTGTACTCACCAAGTAGAGGCTCATTCGACACGTTTTCCGGAGGAACATATTCCAACGTGACTTTTTTTCTGGGGGAAGCCATCTTGGAGTAGAGGTTAAAGGTTATAAGACGTGATCATACTGATTTAGGGGGACACTTATTAATTCAGAAAATATCCACAGCTTGGTTATTGTGGCAATTAAGGATAAAATTGATGAATATAAATAACATAAATCTAAGCCAGTATCACTTTTTCAAGGTTTTGAAGAAGTATTAGAAAAAGAAAAAAAAAAAGAAATCAGGTCTTTTACCTCTGGCAGAATGCAATCGCCCAGAACAGATTGTTGTTGAAATGGATCTTTGAAATGGTTGCTGCGTGTTGAGGTAAAGTTATTCAAGATTTACACTTAATATTCTGAAATCAGTGCTACTGATATTTGCAGATATTCTTCTGTAAGGTCGGTAGTAAAGTGTGGCAAGCTGGTAGAGTGTAACTTTGTTCGAGAGACGTCCATTTTCTGACTGAACGAATCATTTGTTTGGGAGATTTGATCATTTGTTTGAATGGACTCTCCATATAATATAAAGCATGTTACTATTGGCTACTCGATAACTACCAGGCATTCAAGCAATCAACGAATTTTCACACACATTCTTTATTGTTTATAATCATTGGGGTCATTGTATAATTCGATTAATGATTTGTGACAGCGTCTTTTATTATGTAAATCGCAGGACATCACAACTGAGAATCCTGTGAGTGTGATACAGTGCTTAACGGTATGGTATATATGGATCGCATAGTCTAACGTCAGATTCAATGATGTTCGATCCGCAAATGTTAACTATGGATTGTATAGGTCCTAGACATTGTACATGTATTAAACTGATCACTATCCCTTTATATTTGAGGGTAACAATATGAAGATGGCCATATTCAGGTTGTTTTGTGTAAAGGACATTTTCTTAGATCATTACAGGTTCGCGATAGCGGAACCTGTTCTACGTTACCTCGATTTTATGGGCGCCGCCATTTTGTTTCCCGTCATGCAATGGGGCAGGCCAAAGTTGAGTGAAGTGCATTGTGGGACCTGTCACCGGACCACAGTGTAAGGACGACGCCTAGCGGTATGTTTGGAAAGAGCAGTAACTGAAAGCCTACCTGGTTGTGTGTTCATTTTGGTAGGAGTGTATAGAGGCGATGACTTTGGCGTAATATACGCTGATTGTGTTTAGCACTTGCAATTGAAGTTCAATGTAATTTTCTTAGCATGACGGGAAGGAAACATGGCGGACCTAAAGGTTTTTTTTGGTATGATGAGATGATGAGGCTTTGGTATTAGTAGGGTGGTCTTGTGGATCTTGTCGGAGGCCGAAGCTAGGGACGACAGATTGTCCTCAAGTACAGGGTCAGTAGGTGGGATAAATGGCATGGAGATTTGGTATTAGTGGGGTGGTCTTGTGGATCTTGTCGGAGGCCGAAGCTAGGGACGACAGATTGTCCTCAAGTACAGGGTTAGTACGTTCAATTGATGAGATGAAGTTGGGGGATGTGATTTTGTCCATCTGAATATTAAGCATCCTGAAACCTGTCCTGTCTAACATTCATAACAGAATAGTCCTTTTTTGTCTGACCTAGGACCTAACTCTAAGAAGTGACAAACTGAGGAATGACACAGAGACTTGCTTTGGTCAAGACTTTTAGACTTGACCTCTGACCTTGCAGTGGGAGACACCTGTACTAGGTCATCTATTACAGCTGTAGAGCCAGGGAACTCCTGTTGCACATGATCATTGGATATTGTACAAAAACTATGCAGATGTCCTGCTATAAATACCATACATGCCTCCCTTGTATTTAAGATATTATTATATAGCAGTGAATCATTGAACAAATCTTATATGGCCGTTGTACTCGTTAGTTTGATAACTGGATGTACTGAATAACAGCAATCAGTTTCGATTACAATATAGACTGTATCATTCTCCAGTCTCAAAGCCTGGCTACTGGAGAAGCCAAATGTAATAAAATTATTGACAATACAATTGAACTAGTTGTTGTTACAATGACTGTCGTTCTTTATGCTAAAATGTTTTGTTGTCACTGTCCTTGTACTAGGACATATGATGGATCCAGACAATCAAACAATTTGGTCAAGGGGTGGTCCTCTGGCTAATGTCTTTAGACATTATGACATTTGGTATCGATCATGCAGACTCTATTGTCTTTTGCGTCCTTATACTAGACATCGAAGAGCACGTTCAGATCGGCCTCGTCGCATCGGCTGTGCCGGGAACTGCCGTCACGTCGGTCTCAGGCGGTGTGATTGGCCTCACAGCTCTCCCAGGACCGGGAATGGATGTCTCAGGGCCGGGGATGCAGACGTTGGTTGTTTCGGGGGATTAGGGTGTGTCCGGCGGTGGCTTGACGTGGACGGTCTGCTCCCTAATGCAAGGGAAGAAGAGAAAGTGCCCGGGGAAGTACATCCTGGGCCAGATGGATGGATGGCTGACGTGTCAGGTCCATCAGTGGTCAGCTTCCCGGATCAGGAACGGAAGAGATCTCACGGTGCCCGTTGGCCGTCGTGTGCCCCGTTCTTGGCCGAGGGTCGCTGCATGTACACTGAAAAAGAAGAAGACATGTGCCCCTTGAACAGTTTCAACCTGACAACCAATTGCAACCACTGGCGACGTCGACATTGACCCAGAACATAGGCTGGGTCAACCTATACGTGTACAGTACAGACAAACTCACACGGCCCATTCTGTCAAAACGGACAACTGTACTGGCACACATAAACTTACTAGGATCGCCACTGAATAAAAACAAACAACAAAACTAGCAAAACCTACGCATACAAAATAGAATAATAGCTCCATCCCGGCCATCACAGTCACTACCATTGTCACGACTTCCAAGCGTCAACGCCGTCGAAAAAAAACAACAACTTTGAAACCTCTAGAGTATTAAAACAGCACCAAAATCCTTATTTGGCATGGCCACATGTCTCTAACAATCTTTTATCGTAGTCTTCAGAGAAAAAGTCAGGGAATTTTTAGGGGTCGTTTTGTATAAAATAATAACAAAAATAATCGTTTCGTATAAAATAATAACAAAAATAATTTGAAATCTGAAATACCTTTATTGTACATTCATGCCACGACGGGCTAGGTACAGGTCAAGACTTAACATACACATTACAGACATATGTAGAAAATTGGAGACAAAAGATGCACTATTTGACTTAGACATACATACATTCATACTGTCATACATACATACAACTACTAGGCTAATACAAAGTGTTGTACTCATTTTCTATATAAACTAATGACAAAAAATTAGTCGTTTAATATGAAATAATAACAGAAAAATAATCATTTTCTATAAAGAAAATTACAGAAAAATTATCGGTTTCAATAAAATAACGGTGTACAAACCAGGCACACGGCGCAGGCTCACTTTCTGGCCCCTGCCCACAGTTCTATCGGGATCGGGAACGGATGTCTCAGGA